TTTCCACAAATGTAGTCAATTTGATTTCTGTGTATTCCATACGGTGAGATCCATGTGTATACTCATCTCTTATGCTGTTTAAAAAGGTATTTGAAATGAACAAATCATTGATTTTGCAGAATTCTATCATGCGATCTCCAGCATCATTTTTATCACCAAGGCCATATTTTCCAACTACTATCTTCTTTGTTTCCAAACTTTGCATTACAATTGCCAGTAATGATCAATACATCTTGGTTGCATGGCTGATCAATTTCAGATTAAAAAACTGGTAGAATAAATTCTTCTATTTCATCCTCACTGGCTTTAGTGGTTGGTGCGTAAATTTGAATAATAGTGGTATTAACTGATAATCCTTGTAGGCACATAGATACTATCCTATTACAGACTATACAGACAGGTTATATCTCATGACTGATCTGGATATATTCTTTTTGACGATGAATGCAACACAATATCTCTTCAATTTGTCATTCCCAGCATAGTAAACCATATGGTTGTCAGATTCAAAATGGCCAGTAACAGTCCATTTCAGCTCACCAATGCCTAAGATATCGATGTTTATGTGTTCTATTTCATTTTTGTGAATTTCCAATTTTCCTAGATTCATACTTTGTACATTCCATGTTCCGATTATTAATGGATGTTTACAGCTGTTTCTCTTCATTTTGAGTGATCAGCAAATGAAGGTTGAGGGCTTTACTCCTAAGAGCTCCATTAGTGTCATCACGGTCAACTCTACTTTGAGGAGGCAGCTCTTCCCCAGTGCATTTTGAGTGCCTTCCAACCTGATGGGTTCATTTTCCAGCGCTCTATCTGACAGTGTTTCTCTGCTATTCATAAGGTTTTCAGTGACTAAATATTTGGAAGTAGTTCATTTCTCCTTCTTCATAGTTTATTTTCACTGGAAGATCATCTGAAACCTGTTTGCCATGGATGACCCTGCTGATATTTAAATACCCGTGGCATAGCTTCCAGAATCACAGCAATTCACAAGCCACCACAGTACGACAAACTGACAGACGAGTAGTTTTAATTTACATTCTCCTAAAGACTAATGATGTTGAGCATTCTTTGGAGAAATGCATATTCAAATCCTTTGCATATATACATATATATATATATATATATTTTTTTTTTTGATTAACTGAATATTCTTAAACCTAACAGTTTTCTGAGGTCAGTTTTAGGAATGTCATTGTTGTTGTTAAGTCATTAAGCCA